ACAAAATAACTATATACAATTTTGTAGCCAAGACGAGTTTAAATGTCTGCCGAAGTAAGCTTACGTAATCGAAAGAGTTTAGGCACTTCTTCACTTCCATTATGGTTCCAATTTTATTCTAAATAAAGCAGGTACATGTTATATTTTTAAATCTACCATCAGTGTATTAAGGAGTATATATTGAAAGTACCATACCTAATTGAACTGGTTTGATATTCAAATAGGTATGTCATTTAAAATTTACCTTACACTATGATAATGTAGATCTTTATAGGAGTTTTTAAAATAATTTCAATTTTATACTTTATTTGCTAAAACATATTTAATGTAATATGGACTTTATTCTCCGCATTTAGCCTCTTATTTGGGCCGTTGTACGTGTAGAGCCAAGACTACTCTTTAGTAGCTAGCCAAGTTTCTTTCCAGAAGTACTCCCTGGTACTGAGGATTTGGGTACATTGTTGCGGACTCCAGGAATACATGATTAGTCGTTTCTTCGGCGTCAAAGCAGCCTCGACAAAGAGGACTGCCTGTGCATGTATTAGAGTTTGTATAAGGGACAGTGGACCGTTATGGTCCGTATCATTTTTTTCTTGTCTAAATTATTTTGTCGTTTTTGTTTTCAAACATGTCATCCCCATTATATTAAACCTAATCATAACAATTCTTAAAAATATAATTATTTTAAGGTTAGTCTTATCTAGGTTTAGTAGGAATACGTTTTGTTAATCGTTCGTTAAAGCATAGGTAAAAATTAGTTCCTGTAATAAAATATTTGAAACATTATATTATACCTAGTAGGCACGAAAATATATTTGCTACATAATAAATAAAAAAACGTCGTATTAGTAGTTAAGTCGAGAGTAGGTACCTACTATGTCATTATATTTATTTACGAGTCGATTACGAAGAATAAAGGATTCAATTTATAATGAAATTCTTGTAGAAGATATAGATTTTTTATTAATTATAAATTTTAATACGTCACAAAGAATATTTTTTATCGTGTTTTCTGTTTAGGTATCGTGCGAGCAGGAACTATTTATTTATACATTTTTGGAGGAACAAAATTAGGATCGAAACAACCATGTCGGTGTGAGGGAAGTTATCTAACTTCTCACTTTAACAGAGTGACTAGTGGTATACAAATAAACAACGTAGAATAACAGATAAACAAAAATATATTTCTTTTTTTTTTTGGACTACTCTAATGCTGGCCGCAGTTAGTCTTTACAGTTTCGCCGGACGATAGAGGGCGAGTGTATATGGCACTCAAAACCCACGGAAGGATTTATGGAGCGGCTGAAGGCCAGCTCCCGCCTGACGGATACGACTTTAGTCTGAGGGCACCGCTAGGGGTTCGAACGTCGGCTCAGGCCATCGTAATTTCGATCCCCATTTGAATTGGAAGAGGGATCGATCGGAGGGGTTACATTTCTGAACAACTTAGTAGTTACTGCTAAGTATTTTTGGCTAAACAATAGCAGATAATGAAAAAATGAAAAAGACCAGTTTTGTGCAGAATTTTTTTCTCTCCAAATTTCATTAAAAATGTTTCTTCATATTTCTTACCGTTATCGAGTTATTTTGAAAAATGGGGTTTTTCGAGTTATTTTGAAAAATCATCTACGTAAGTTGAAAAAAACGGAATACTCATTAGTAAGTACTAAACGAAGCGATCAGTTACTATTTAATAATTTTCCAAAAGTATTTGGAATTATATAAATATAAAATTTTGAAAACCAATACATATTTTTAATTAAACGGCGAAATAATATTTTATATTTAACTCGTTGTTAAACGAATATTATAATTGTAATATTTTATTAATTTATTTAGATAAATTATCACTTTCCATTAACTATAATTATATTCCCTATATTCTTCTACACTCGGTAACGGCAGAATGTGGAAAGGACCTCAATAAAAATATATTTTCAGCTAACATATGTACTCATATATATTCATTACTAACTGTGCCTGCGGTTACAATCGCATGAAATTTATAGTCTGTTATTCTGATGTACAAACTATTTAACTGTAAAGTTTCATCAAAATCTGTACAATAGTTTTTGCATAAAGGCATAACAAACATCCATCCATACTCACAAACTTTCGCGTTAATATTAGAAAGACAGTAAGTACTAAATTATTATTTAAATATTACGCCTGTGGCGCTCACTCGTTTTGCCGCGTCTAAGCGTGGCAACACTGGCGATATGCAATTACAACCAAGTAATCACAATGTCATCGGACGAGCTGATATCAAAGTAATTATTGTTAATACATGCAATAAAAATATATTAATATAAAACGTGGACTTTCATTCCGGATATAAACTTTCATATTAACCTATTAAATACAATCAAATCCTCTCTGGAACCTACGAATGCTGTTATTAACATAATGGAATTTATAGTTGTAGATAAATTTAATTACATAGGTTTTACTAATTTCATTATCTTCAAAACAATAATAATACGAATTGTTTTATGGTTTTACTACCTGTGCCAAGAATTCACCCGCGTGAAATTTATAGTCTGTGCTATTCTGTGGGTATCACTGTAGGCAAAGTTTGAACACAATCCATTTGAACAAGTTCCATCGATACTCATAAACTTTCGCATTTATAATATTAATAATAATAAGATTACTTTACTAGCTGTCCCGGAGAACATTCTTTTGCCATATAAAGTTAAGTGGGTACTAATATTGCTATTTTTTTTTGAGGGTTGATAATGGAATGGTACACCCGCCTGCGCTAACGGTTTACGCTGGCGGGGCACCAGTGGAGGATGATAAGATGAACATGAGGTCAGGTCAGTTAGCCCATCGTGCAAATTCACCAGGAATTTAACATGATGGTTTCCAGGGGGAACCGCGTGGAGGTCGACCTGACATGGTACATTGCTAGCAATGGGGTTATCAATCCACATTACTAACAATCCCCTTCCCCCCACTAATATTGCTATTAAAAATGGGGGTTGGGGATAGAATAATAAAAATTTTGGGTTGTATGTATTTTTAATGGCAAATAATAAAAAAAAGCTAGGGGTGGATAACCTTTATCATTTAGGGGTATGAAAAATAGATAGTAGCTGATGTCTCAGTTTTTTTTTTATTTTGGACATTTCAACATTATATTGTTAGTTGCACTAGTGTTACCCATTCACTACTAGCTATGTCACACTATTAGGTTGACTGGTAGAGATCTCTTTTAGAGATAAGTCCACCATTGCCCATTTTGTATATAATTAATTTTTCTACTCTGTTTAAAAGAACAGATTGCACTGAATGCTGCAATAAATGAACAGATGCACTTGTAGTTAATCTAATAATTTTGATCGCGCGATAATATAGTTAGTATCTACTTATTATCAATTTTAACATTACATATGTACAATTGACTTCATACGTGAGCGCCTATAGTGTATGTATTCATATTGAGTTTTTTAGTTGTCTTTTCTTCAAAGTTGTATTTCTTCGGACTACTCTAATGCTGATGGCCGCAGCTGTCCTTTACAGTTTCATCGGACTATAATACAAAAACTCCACACGAAGTATCTATAAACTAAAATTACTATACTAAAAAAACTAAGTAAAAAGTAAAAAAAACGAAGTATAACTATACGCCAAACTAAGTATCTAACTCCGCGGAAGGACTTATGGAGCGGCTGCAGACCAACCCCCGCCTGACGTATACGACTTTCGACTCACGATACGACCCCCGTCTGAGGGCAACGTTAGGAGTTCGACCTTAGCTCAGACCGTAATTTCGATCCCTGTTTGAATTGGACGGGGGATCGATCGGAGGGGGAAATTTCCCCTCAAAATACATACATCTTTGAATTAGTGTTATAGTGAATTTATTATGTATTTTTATATAGAATTTAGGTTAAGTTTGTATTTCTATTTTATTAGTCTAACATAGATAGATAAATTCTTTATTCACAATTACAGACACATAACATACATGAGATACAGAAAAACACGAATTAATAAAAGAAATGTAAGTGGCTTTATGTGCCGCAAAAGTGAAAAGGTAGCCAACTCAGCATAATGCTACAAATAACTGCAGCGTTGATATTCTGTTGGCTCCTTACTTATACTATACTCATTACTAAAAAAAATTATATAAATATTAAACATCGAGCTCTTTATCAAAATATATAAAGTATAAAAAGAATTTTCGATACCAATAAATAGTTACATATACAAACACACCTATAGTGTTTGTTATGGTGTAAGTCGAGATGCCTTGTCTAGTATTATGATAGTAGTACCATTATCTGTGGTAGTACATATGTGTAATTCGTACTAACACTAACCTATAGCACATAGACTATATCTTGTCCTAGTTACATATCAATACAAAGGTAATTAGATAATTACAATACTTTATCACATTGTTATTTACATATTATATATAAAAAAGATAAATATATATATATAAACTTCTGTAAACATTTACGCCTGGCAACCAGTAATTAAGTCAACACTATATATCTGAACTTTTTGCAAGTAATAATAATTGTAACGTCATAGTGTATATCTTGTTGGTCGCTCAAATAAATAATTATAAGTAAATATAACAATACTCCGAGGCAACATGTACATCTGAATGACCTCAGTGGTGGAGCACACTGTTTTATTTCCGATGGGTGCGGGTACGATTCCTCGCACGGTAGTAACATTTGTATTAATAAGTATGATTGTTTGTATCGGTCGGTGTTTTTAAATATACATATATTATGTATGTCCTTACAAAAAAATATATATCTAAGTATTTATCAGTTGTCTAGTAACCATAACACAAGTTCTGCTTACCGGACTAGATGGCACTGTATTAATTGTCCAGGGTTATTTATTTATATTTCAAGGTATTGTGTATGCAACACGCAATTTTCTGGTTGTTCTCATTCCTCTTGAGTCATCACAGACTCATGTCTGCGTTCAGAATGAGCGGTAGAATAAAAAAAAATACTATTCAAAAGTGCTTATATTAAGTTTATTTGAATAATAATTATTTCTATTTTATTCTACTATAGCCGTGAATATTTCCACATTTTAAGATTCGGTTGTCATCCTATAAAGTTACACAAATAAGTTTTTTATATGTACTTAAAACAAAACACATCCTATCAGTATCTTCCTCGATTCGCTTGAGGTATGCCTTTTGTTGTCGGGTCTTCATGGGCCTGTAACAAAAATATTAACCACTAACCATAGACTAATGTTTTTTTCCATACCCTTAAGTGTTTTTTTTTATGGATGATATTGGAATAGAGCACCCGCCTGTGGAGGACTAATGGCGGGACTGAAAGAGAACTACTACAAAATTTATACATATAATTAGTAAACATCACGGGATCTTACCACGTTTTATATTTATTTGCTGAGCTCCTGATATTTCGATTTATAAAACAGACAACAGTCTACCCGTGATCATTGGTGCGGCGGTGGCTATGATCTAGCCTTCTTCGATGGACTATATTATTGTATAGGAAACTGGCTGGTCAAATATGAATGACTTACCCTTACTTCAATGTGCTTGTTCTTCAGTGGGCCCACACGGTTACGGGAATCTCAGGAATTCACTCAGGTTGATTACAACTATTAAGACATGCGTGCGATATGCGTGCGACGTGCGCGCGCGGCGAAAGCTATGACATCACTGATTATTGAATTAGCCGGGAGGGGTGTCAATGCACAAGACAAACCAGGTACGCATCGCGTTTGGCGTAACCATGCCCCCCGCCTTGACATAATGTCAAAGTAAAATTAACAAAAAAATAAAGGAACTACATAATTGAACCTTATTGCGAATGCGACAAATACAAAAAACAAGAAAGAAAAAATACAAAAAATATCAAATGCGGAATTTACTAAATAAGAAAAATGCAAAGGATTTTAACTTAACTTATTAACCTATTATAAATGCGTACTACCTATCTTATAGAATACATATTATTGCAAAGGCAATGGACATATGCGGTGCGTTAGGAGGGATAAGGGTCCACTTAATTCCATTGTTAGCTAATTCCTTATCCCAAACAGATCTACATTCTTGCGATAAAAACAAATAAAGTTCACGTGGGTAGGATCGTGCCCCTATAAAATTAGTACCATGATCCGTATACATGCATTGAATAGGACCGCGGCGAGCGAGAAAACGTTTTAACGCGGCGAGAAAACAAACTGTACTCAATTCACTTGCGAGCTCAATATGAACAGCCCGAGTGGTTAAGCACGTGAATAAGCAAACGTATGCTTTGCGAGTGGTTATACCACGACCGCGATAAGGGGTTACAAAAAACGGACCTGCGAAATCACAGCCACAATGGACAAAGGCTTTAGGAACTTCCTTCACCCTTAGTGCAGGCAGATCACCCATCGGTGGGAATGTAGGACGCGGTTTATTGCGGAAACAAATATTACAATTAGCTACGATCGTGCGAATCATACGTCGAGCTGCGAGAATCCAATATTTAGTACGTAGTATTGACATTAACAATTCTGGGCCTGTATGCAGGTTTTTACGATGAAAGTGTGTTACAATTAATTGAACTATATGATCTCTGCCCGGAAGTAATATAGGGTGTTTATAATCGAAATCTTCATCAGAATGAGTCAGATGACCACCAACTCTTAAGAGATTGTCTGATAAAAATGGATTTAATTTAATTATTGATGCGGTACAAGGTTTTTTATTATTTAACTTGCTAATATCGTTTTTAAAATGAAACCCCTGCACAGCGCGAATAATTATACGTTCGGCGAAATCCAAATCGGAACTGGATATGACGCCGCGTGGAAGAATGTTAGCGAACTTATAAATATAACAAATTACACGAAGTAATTTCATCCATGGCGAAAATTTGCGAGCGAGCGAATATAAATAAGGTTCCATAGAATCTTCAATGGTAACCAGTGCGATAGGGTTTTTATTTCCTTCATCGGAAGCTAACTGAGCTACAGTACGTAACGCTAAGTACGGGCTGCAACGTAAGCCAAATGCAACTTTATTAAATTCAAAGACTTGGAGCGGTTTAGTAGGACTAAATCTATATACAATACGTTGAAAACAACGATCTTGCGGGCGAACTTTTATTCGTAAATACATTTGTCGCACATCAGCTGAGATGGCGACTGCGAACAATCTCATATTCAAGAGAATAATAAATAAATCCGGTTGTAAGGAAGGACCTGTATGTAGAATATCATTAAGCGAAAATCCAGTACTAGACTTCGCGCTTGCGTCTAGTACCGGCCTTATTTTCGTGGACACTTTGTCCTCACGTAAGACTGCGTGATGCGGTATAAAATAACTAGGGCTGTTATTTTCAATTACGTCTACGGGAGAAATATATTGTTTTTCTATATATTCGTGAATTACCTCATCATAAAGGTATTTCAGTTGCGGTTGCGATGCGAATTTACGTTCCAAATGATAAAATCTGCGTTTAGCGATATCGAAAGAGTTCCCTAAAGACTTAGAACTATACTTAAATGGTAAAGCGACTTCGTAGTGACCTGATTCGTTACGAGTGGTCGTTGTGGTATAAAAATCTTCACAGTATTTATCGTCTATACTTGTTATTGGTTTGCGATCTACTTCTTCAATCTCCCAAAATTTGCGAATTAATACTGAAACCTCGCACGAAGTGGTGGAACAGAACGAGAATGAAGAAGACGTAGAAGTTAAGGTGGGAGCTTCACCTAAAATAAGATAACCGAGAACAGTCTCCAACGCGTTTGGAGTACCAGGTGAATTTATAATTTTACCTCCAGACAAAAGGGTCGCGAATAGGTTGACACCAATCAAAAGGTCAATTTCTGATGGTGTTCCCCACGTATCATCTGCGAGCGGAATATTAGTTAAGTAACTGAGCGCGCCAACATCAATTTGACATGTTGGTAAGTTACCTGTTATTTTATTCAAAACTAAAGCGCGAATATTATAATATTGCTCATGATTAAATCTCGATCGGAAAGAGAGATCAACTGCACCCTTAACTGGTTCAGTGGCGCCACCTATACCCTTAACGGTGGTATGTGCGTCCGGCTGCATGGTTAAACCCAATTTTAAACAACACTTAGAAGTAATATAATGCTTTTGTGACCCGGGGTCCAATAAGCAGCGAATGACAACATCACTCCCATTACGAGCAGTAGCAAATACCTTGGCAGTAGCAAGTACTTCAGTCACATACGGCTGCTCATGAATGGACGATGAAAGCGTGCATAACGACTCCTTGTCTCCACCAGTGGTGGTTCCAATAGGAACGGGAGTTGGTTCTAATCGTGTCTGTTGTGTGGGTTGTGTGTGCGCAAGCGGAGGCAATTGCGACGAAGAAGATGGTGGTAATTGGCGACCGTGCGTAGAAGATGTCTGTGCGTTTTTCGTATCCTGAGATACTTGCGTAGGTGCGGAATTATTATTTTTAAAACAAAGCAACGTATGATGTCTCGGATTGTTACAATTTCGACAGGCGGAAGTTGATTGACAACTGAAAGAGTTATGTTGACTACTTAGACATCTAGTACACATACGGTTAGTTTTAATATAATTAAATCGATCATTAATTGTGAAAGTTGAAAATTGTTTACATTTATATAATTGAGAATGTGAATCACCTTTACATAAGGAACAATAAATGCGTTGCGTAGGATTAGTACCTAAAAATGTACGTGGCGATCGAGCGATCGATCGTTGATGCGACTGTGCACGACCACTGGCGGACGCGGCGGCGGGACCGTCCAACTTGGTGGCGGCAGCGGCGCCGGCGGTGCGGTTACACGTGCGTTGTAATATTTTTACGTGTTGACGTATAAATTTTATAAAATTTTCAAACTGCGGTATGTCATCTTCTCCTCTAATTGATGACTCATACGACTGCGCGGTAGCCTGATCTAATGCCTTTAATCCCATATAAATAAATATAAAATCATCCAGCTTTTCAATTTTAAGTTGCTTTAATGCTGCGATAGTCGACGAGAAAGTATCAATAAATTTTTCTAAGTTTATTGCCGAAGGACCGTTAATTGATTTTAAAGAAAATAATTTATCTAAATATGACGTTGCAAGAGAGCGTTTATCTTGATACTTATCGATTAAAGCTTGCCACAATATAGGATAATTTTCGGCTGCTGGTACTAAGCCAGCACACAGATTTCTAGCCTTTCCTGACAGGTGACTCACAAGATAATGAAAACGTTCTGAGTCCGAAAAGGATTCATTGTCATGAATAACCTGTTTGAATGTTTCGTAAAAGAAAGGAAATTCTAAAATATCACCTGAGAAGACTGGTAACACAATTTGGGGGATCCTTACTGATCCCTGTTTGTTGTCTGGTAAAGCAGACTGACAAGCGGGAGCTGGAGTTCGCGAAGATTGAGGTTGTAACGAGACCGCCATCATCTTTATAGAATAAAACATTTCGTCAAAAGCGGTGAGAGATTGATAATTAACTACATAATCAGGGTTTAGTTCCAAATTAAGGAGAATAATTTCATCGACAATTTTAACATACTCGGTGCGCATTTGATCGATCAGGCTAACTTTTGCAATAAAAACATTACGATGTTTCTCCATTTTAGTTTTCGAAGATAATTCATAAATAGACTGAAGTTGCGAAAAATATTGTGCACGTTTTGCTTCATACATTTTTAATTTTGCGTTTGTGTTAGCCATTATTATTATTTATATATATATACTTCTTAAAAAATAACAAAGGAAAACCAATAAATGCGATATATAAAACTATGTGCGGTAATAACGTACAACTATACCTGTACTACCGTAAAAGGGCGAGCGATAAACAATAATAACGTATAATAGGTATTTAATGTACTAAATACCTACAAGACAGACAGATGTACTTGTAGCGAAAATAAGTACACAAATGCGAGAAATGATGCGCGATATAAACTAGCATACATAAAAAATATATGCTTACTATGCTATAAAACTACTAATTAATAATGCGAAAAATAGGTACAACTATTATCTATATATACCTATATGCGAGAAAAATAAAATAATGCATGAAGCAATATTTTAAATATGCGGTGCGAGAAGTAAATCACAATAACGTTTTAAACACTAAAGCGCGTGACAAATAAATTTATATATATACCCACTCATAAGCGGTAGTATGTAGGTACATAAGTGCGACAATACGGAATGTAGGTATCGACCATACATCTACAAAAAAAAAAATATGCGAGCGAAATATAAACTATACATAAAGCGAAATCGAAGTGAGTGATGTCATAGAAAATCAGATAATATATCTATAACTATAACTAAAAAGATATAAAATAACTATGTTCACAACTATTATTTTACGCGGGAGTATTCTAAAGCGTTGTTGTTAGTCACTGTGTCGATACACCACGTATAACTTAATCATAGGTACGTAGGGCACGATCTTTAACCGACATGCAAGGAAATAAAATATCTATTACGAACAGAAATAAAATCGCTGCTTATCAATAATTATTCAGATTAAATAGTGTGCTTTCCCTGCTCACTTTCTTGTGTAAAGACTACGGTAACCAACACTAACAATCTTAACATTCAAACACTACAATCATCATACATAATATTCGACAGGTAATATTGTTTCGTCAAATAGTATAACGACAACTATAATATTTCTAGAAGCTTCGATCGATCGAACAATATCGATATAATGCGGGTGAATGTGAAATTAAATGAACGAAACAACGCAAACAGATATAAAGCGAAATTGAAGAATTGAGCTGCGAGTTATGAACAATTCATAAGCGACATAAATATAAACTTATTTATTAACGAAAATACCAATGTATCGTTATATTTGTGCAACCGTGGTATGCAATTTGAATAGATCCTATTACATGCGCAATAAGGTTCAATATTACATGCGAGTCATTCACTCGACTTTCACAATAGGAAAAAATTAAAACAAATTTTAAATAAATAAATTGCGATTCCTATTGTGATCCGGCGACGGAAGGCCAATAAATGGTGCGGCGGTGGCTATGATCTAGCCTTCTTCGATGGACTATATTATTGTATAGGAAACTGGCTGGTCAAATATGAATGACTTACCCTTACTTCAATGTGCTTGTTCTTCAGTGGGCCCACACGGTTACGGGAATCTCAGGAATTCACTCAGGTTGATTACAACTATTAAGACATGCGTGCGATATGCGTGCGACGTGCGCGCGCGGCGAAAGCTATGACATCACTGATTATTGAATTAGCCGGGAGGGGTGTCAATGCACAAGACAAACCAGGTACGCATCGCGTTTGGCGTAACCAATCATGGTGGTTGAAACACTGCCGTAATATCAGGAACTCAGCAAATAAATATAAAACGTGGTAAGATCCCGTGATTTTTACTAATTATATGTATAAATTTTGTAGTAGTTCTCTTTCAGTCCCGCCATTAGTCCTCCACTGGTGCCCCGCCAGCGTAAACCTATACGTATAAATAATGACCGCGTCAAGTTTAAAATAGTATATACTAAAAAATTTACTAAAAGTTACTAACAATCCCCTTTCACCCAATATTGACGCCACATCTAGCGATGTGCCCCGGCAGCGGAAACCGTTAGCTTGGGCAGATGCCCCAGTCCATTATCATTCATTATTAAAAATAACAAGGAGATAAAGAGTCAGTTTTCGCCTCGTCATGACTTTACGATTTTATTGTAATAAAGTATAAAGAAGATTAACTATATTGAGGACAATGACCGATAATAAAATAATAGTTACAAAGTGTTTATTTACTGTTATATTTATATATTTATTTAATGAGATTTAATTGATAATAAATAATTAGAACTTACGTATTGTTAAACATAATTTAGATTAATATAGCATTCAGCACAAAGCACACAAGTTTTTTGTTAACACATTACGATTGTACCCGTTGCGAGGATTGCAACTTATTATAATTATATTCTTCTCTCACAAAGGTTGTCTAGAAGAGATCGCTTAGGCGCCTTAGGCGATAAGCGATAGCCTACTTATATACGCAATATATTCTGTTTTTTGCATTATAATATTTTTAAGGTGCAATATAGAATAATAAATAAATAAATATAATCTAAATATTGATTTAACAACACACAGCCCAAACCACTGGGCGGATCGGGCTGAAATTTGGCATGCAGGTAGATGTTATGACGTAGGCATCCGCTAAGAAAGGATTTTTATTAATTCTACCCCTAAAGGGATAAAATAAGGGATGAAAGTTTGTATGAAACTTTGTCCGATCGGGCTGAGACTTTGTATGCATAAAGCTACTATGTCGTAGGCATCCCCTAAGAATGGATTTTGATAAATTTCACCCCTAAGGGGATGAATTAACGCGAGCGAAGCCGCGGGCAAAAGCTAGTTATAAATATTTACGTACCTTAATGACAATAGACGTCCTCGGGCCAGTGTTCCACAGTTCGCCGTTCTCATCAACGAACGCGGCCTCCACTGCCACCGTGTACAGTCCGGGCGCGTTCACGGACACTAGTTGCTGCGCCGAGAAGAAATCGCGGACCGGCGTGACGGTCTGTACGGCGGTCAACACGGGCGGGATGTTTGTCAATTCCACGGTCTGTAGTTGTGAAAATTAATTAATTAAAACTAGTTAGGAATGTACGATTTTTGTCATTTTTATCGATAACATATAAAAATCATTTGTTATCGATAACATATAACATAACACGATAAAAAATGACATTTATAGATAGACAAATTCTTTAACAATTACAGACACATAACATACATGAGATACAGAAGATTTGAAACAGTTTTTGATACCACTCCGATAGGTCCCCCGTCCAATCCAAAGGGGGATCGAAATTACGACGGCCTGAGTTGAGATTCGAATCCCTAGCGGTGATCTCAGACTAAAGTATCAGGCGGGACTTGGCCTTCAGCCGTTCCATAAGTCCTTCCGCGGGTTTGGAGTGCCACATGGACTCGCCCCCTATCGTCCGGTGAAGCTGTAAAGGCCAGCTGCGGCCAACAGCACTAGAGTCCGAAAAATAAAAACAGGCTTTGATACGTCCCTAAAAGTATTACTTTATATGACATAGTACAAAATACTTGATGACTCAAAAAAAGCTGAAAGGTAAAATAACTATTAAAGAGCATCGCCTTATAATCTCTGATCAACGCGACGGTTGCCTGGTAGAGAATGCCATCAGGTTAACCTTTCGAATGTCTGTCGTCTGTTGCTGTGACCGAAAGTGAAGAGGCGGTATGCGCCCGCCAGATGAATTTTTCAAACTCGTTTCGATCTTATTTCGTTTCAAATAAGGACTAAATTTGTTAAAAAGAAGTCATGGTTTTACGGGCATAGATCTGTCTCAAAACGTTCGAAGGGTTAAATCCGCCAATTTTGTATGCGATATAAGAATAAATGAAATGGCATTAAATAGGCAGACAGAAATTCTGGATATTTTCTGATATCGATTTTTCTTATTTGATACTTATTGTCTATCGATACTTACAGATCGATATAGATGTTTTCTAATATCGACAATCTCTAATAATGTATATCATAATCTTTCTTGGGCATGTTTACATTAATGAAATAGGCTTTTATTAACGCCCTCTGTGAAACGCGCAAGAAACCAGAAGCGTCTTCAGTGTCAAGTGGATCACGGATTATTTACGGTTGCCAGTGCTATAGACGGCTATAGCATTAGTAACAGCTTTCATCATCATCATCATCATCGCAGCCCGGAAGACGTCCACTGCTGGACATAGGCCTCCCCCAAAGATCTCCACGACGATCGGTCCTGCGCTGCTCGCATCCAATGCCTTCCAGCGATCTTGACCAGATCGTCGGTCCACCTTGCTGGAGGCCTTCCCACGCTGCGTCTTCCGGTCCGTGGTCGCCACTCGAGAACTTTACTGCCCCAACGGCCATCTGTCCTACGAGCTATGTGCCCTGCCCATTGCCACTTCAAAGTCGCAATTCTTCGGGCTATGTCGGCTTTACTTCACGATAAATAAATAATTTTATATGTTACACTACGTTTAACAATTTTTCTGTCAGCATAGTACATTAAATTAGTAAATAAAATATATATGTGTACTTGACTATTTAAGGGAATACTTAAATACATTATTTTAGTTACACAAACAAAAATATCGACTTTAATATTTACAAGAATCCAAGATCAACGAATTTCGAGAATTCAGTAGCGATTTTAAACGAAGCTAGGACAATAAATCTATGAAGTTCGCAGCTTTACAAGTTTATATCATAATTATCAGATCATAGAAATAGAAATAATGTTATTCAAATCAACTTAATAAAAGCACTTTTAAATAGTCTTATTTTTTTATTCTACCATTCATTCGGAACGCAGACTCATGACAAGAAGAATGAGCAAGAGACTCGCTCTTTTAAATAAATGTTGTTCTAAATAAATATACAATAACAAGGAATAGGCATACGATAATCAATATAGAAACCACTACGCGGTCGATCTTTGTGCAATCAGGTCAGTGTCATCAATTATCAATGAGGTTTCTACTACGCAGGATCAAACACGCGACCCACGGAACTTGAAGCACTAAACCGCTTCACTACCGAGAACGTCATATCAATATAGTACCTTTTCGTTAGTGCGTGGATGCGGGGTGGCGGTGACCGTGATCTGAACGCCTTTCACTTGACGCTGCGGCTGTCGTTTACTGTAATTTAAAGAAATAAATAATTAGCTGCCTTTACACGTACGCACTTTACTTGTATTTTACGCGCGAATCAGCTTTCACGCGGGAAAGAATGTTTACGCCGAAACGTAACATTATTTCATTTTTACCTATACTTTCCTTACGCAGCGATAGTTCGACCAATACTCTATTTCACTCACACGCAGCCGCGCATCTCGTTCATTCATTTTTAACTACCAATATAATAGAAACATAAGCGCGCGTTTTAATTTGCATATCTGTCTCACTCACGCATACTCATCCCATGTATGTCCTTCCTTGTCCTACTTCCTGAAACCATGTAACATGTCAAAGGACAAGAAGAAATAGAAAGACGACTTCCGCCCAGTTAGTTCAAGTTCAAGTTCACCGCCGGCCGCCATCGCTAACGCTGCTCGCTATCCGCCTGTACAAAACTATTATACAATAAACGCATAAAGTGAGAATAAATCCGTAATGTGTTGTGTTTGTTAATCAAGAAGTTTTAAGAAAAACATTATAAAAATATTAGTCTTGGTGAATAGAAAAGAGAACCAGCGCCGAGAATCATCGGGAGAAGTCGAAGAAAGAATTCACCGGTGAGCTCCTTTTGTCCTTTCTACCTATTCACTCCAAAGAATGAGTATGTAATTGTAGATAAAAGTTGCCTTTACACGTGCGGTATTTTACGCGCGAATCAGCTTTCACGCGGGAAAGAATGAGTATGTAATTGTAGATAAAAGTTGCCTTTACACGTACGCTCTTTAATGCGTGAAACACCATTCGTGCAGGAAAGAATGAGCATGTAATTGTAGATATAAGCTATCTTTATACGTACGCTCTTTCACGCGCCAATAAGTTTTCACTCAGAAAAGAATGAGCATGTAGTTATAGACAAAAGCTGCCTTTACTTGTACGCTCTTTTAGGCGTGAATAGGCTTTAACGCAGAGCGACGTAAGGCGGCGCTAGAGTGCTTGAGCGACGTAAGACGGCGCTAGAATACCTGAGCGACGTATGGCGGTGTGAGAATACCTGAGCGACGTATGGCGGTGCTAGAATACCTGAGCGACGTATGGCGGTGTGAGAATACCTGAGCGACGTATGGCGGTGCTAGAATACTTGAGCCACGTATGGCGGTGTTAGAGTACCTGAGCGACGTATAGTGGTGCTAGAGTACTTGAGCGACGTAAGGCGACGCTAGAGTAGGTACCTGAGCGATGTAAGGCGGCACTAGAGTATTTGAGCGACGTAAGACGACCCTAGAGTAGGTACCTGAGCGATATAAGGCGGCGCCAGAGTACCTGAGCGGCGGCACGGGCAGCACGACGCCCTCCAGCTTGAGCGCGAGGCGGTGCGCGAGCGGCAGCGCGGCGGCGTGGTCGGCGGGCGGCGCGCGGGGCGCGGGGGTGAGCGCGAGGCGGCACGCGGCGCCCCCCGCGCGCCCCGCACACACGCCGCGCGCCCACCCCGCGCCCGCGCACATCGCCCTCACCGCCGCCACTATCGCCTCCGCGTGCTGACGATATTACATTGCATACGTTAGTGCATTCGGGAGCCGTTACGATTAACCGACTGTATATTAGCAGCCTCAGAGACTGATACTTAGAAATCTATACACATAAATAAAATTGGAGTATCCGTTTGTATCGAATCATAGTTTTTTTACTCCATGCATATGAATATAAATACGGTACATACACCAAAATAACTTTTTTTATAATTTTTGTCTGTCTGTTTGTTTCGGCTAATCTCTGAGATGGCTGAACCGATTTTGACGGGATTTTTTTTGGCAGGTAACTGATGTAATAAGGAGTTACTTAGGCTACTTATATTTAAGAAAAATAAAGTTATTTTCCACGCGGACGAAGTCGCGTGTGTAGTTAATAATTAATATGTGTAATACAGACTAATACGAATCTGACGTGGGTTTATAAGTTATATATATAAAAATATATAATACATAATTAGCAGTAATGACAGATTACTAATATTCAATCAAGTAAAGATAATGTCATTATTATCATACAGACATACCTATATCTTTATTATAATACCTATAAATCAACTGACATCGCAGCACTTACTCTATGGGTAAAACCGGGTGCTGTAGTGGGATCATCAAAAAGCTTAGCCGATATTTTGGCTACGGCGATACTGGGTGCGAGAGCGATCATCTCCTCGAGGGTTGTGGCCTTCAGATCCTTGGTGATGACCTCAGCGGGTCGTTCCTGTTGATTGGAGGTGATGCGCTCCAGGAATTGAGCCATTTGATTATAAGTATGTTGAGCACTGCATTGTTTTTGATAAAGAAATAATCTTCTAAAATTTCACACGTATTTGAAATAAGTCTATAATTATCACTATAATTACATTATATTATAATTTGGTGTAGATTGTGGAATCACCTTCCAGCAATGGTATTTCCGAACCGATACGATATTGAAACCTTCAAGAAAAGAGCTTATTCCTTTTTAAAAGGCCGACAACGTACTTGCAATTCCCCTGGTGTTGCGGGTGCTCATGGGCGGCGGTAATCACTTACCATCAGGTGAGCCGCATGCTCGTTTGTCCCCTGTGTTATATAAAAAAAAAGATATAACAAATATTTTTGCATTCAAATATTCAACAATTGTAAGCGACGCACTACTTATATATAATTTATTGTTTATTTTTATGTCATGTTCCTCTTAAGATGTTCTTGTTTTGCCCTATTGTTTAGAATTGTATGTACTGTATTACGCACCTACGTATGATTTTTATTAAAGGTCTCCCCACCTAATTGCTTAGTAGCTTCCCACCAACCAACGCGAAAGCGGCTTGTTGCACATCCTAGTTTTAAACTACGCAATATCTTTTATTTTCATCCCTTAAACAATATATAATATAATATGGTATATTTATTATTTATATTATTACAATTAATTAATATAATATTAATTGTATAACCAGTTGGTTATATATTCAATATTTTTTCTATTTGAGTATTTAATTGAATTAGTGCTAATTGGTGGTTTGTATTCACACACTTAAACTTAAAAATGTAAAGTAATAATAAAATTATTTAAAAGAGCAACACGCAAGTTTTTTGCTCGTTCTTCTTGTGATGAGACAGCTTTCCGAACGAGCGGTAGATTAAAAAAAAATGGAACGACTATTCAAAAGTGCTTCAATGTAAGTTTATTTGAATAAATGATTTTCTATACTATTCTATTCTACAATATTATTTTCGTACCCTACAGCCTATTTTGAAAATAATCAGAAATAAATTTTATGCGTTTGCAATTTCGAAATTATTACGAATTTAGAAACATTAACTGTAACAATGACATAAACTAGTACTATAGTTAATTTTAACGTGGTCCTTCGAGCCGGATTGCTTACATAGATGGCCATAATATGGTCTATCGGAAGGGGGGATTGTTAGTAATGGGGAGTAATAACTCCATTGTTAACAACGGTTTCTTCATGCGGTTTCTGAAAACCAAGATGTTAAATTTTTGGCGAATTTGATGACCTAATCTCGTGTTAATTCTTTAATCCTATTATCCTACACTGGTACCTAGCCAGCATACACTGTTAGCGCAGATGTACTGTTCTATTATTATCTGTAGAAAAACATGGTCCATCGAGCCGAATCATTTAAAATTTGTTGCCTTTTATAAAACGTCATGTGGTCTTTCGAGCTGGATTCTTTAAAAAATATTATATTTTATGTATAATAGTTATATTGGTTATATGATACGTCGAGTTTGATCACTTAAAATTATATTATATAAAAAGTACCGATCATATGGTCCTTCGAGCCGGATTATTTAATATTTACTATATTATATAAAAAGTACCGATCATATGGTCCTTCGAGCCGGACGAGACGCATACTGTTATACAAGGATACATGTGGAGGTGGCGCAGGGTGGAGTTGTCTGCGTGGAAGGCGGAGCGTGCGAGCGCGGCGTAGCGACGCGCCGCCGCCGCCAGCGAGCGCGCCGCGCGCCGCGCCGCCCCCGCCGCCGCGCCCGCCGCCGCCGCGCGGTCCCGCGCCGCCTGCACGCCGCCACACGCATCCCTCATTTATTTATTCAAGGAAAACCAAGGCTCACTATACATATACATGAACTATGTGATGACAGGAGCGGCGGTGAGTGTAAACACACGCACTAGGGTGGAACTTGTTTATTGACTTACATTTTGACGCAAAAGGGACAGGAGTGGAAATAATTTATAGGGGTCAAGAGAATGCGTGCTTTTCAGCGCGCATTCCCCGTAGATTCGGCCAGTATAACCGAGAGGTTGGAATGGCCATGGGTTGGTGGAGGGTTGTTACATTTTGACGAGTCGAGCGGCCGTAGTTGCGGGGAGTCGGAAGAGGACCTCCACTGGGAGCGCTCCCTATATTCCGATCTTAGGGGGAAGCTGCTGGAGGGGATACGTCGTGGTGAAGGCGAAGGAGAGGGTCCGGTGTACTACCCGGACTTGGTGTCTACGGAGAAGAATTTTAGGAGGCTGCGGGAGTTCGCGCATCAGAGGCACCGGAGGCAGAGCGAGTACGAGAGAACTGACGGTGGTACGCGTTCAAGAAGAGAGGATGCTGCTGAAGACGGAGTGCTGCCTGGCACCGAAGCTGTCAATGTTTCGTCCGCTGCCCCAGAATGGGGAGAAAGCGACAGAAGGGACAGGAGCGGAAATAATTTGTAGGGGTGAAGAGAATGCGTGCTTTTCAGCTCGCATTCCCCGTAGATTCGGCCAGTATAACCGAGAGGTTGGAATGGCCATGGGTTGGTGGAGAGTTGTTACATTTTGAATTTACTCTATCTTAGACTAATTAGACTATATATATTAACAAGTGCGTGACCAACGTGTCGTTAGATAAAACGTACGCTGGCACAATTTACTAATGAATTTGCTGATTTGCATCACTATATCACAACTATACATAAATTATTAAATCGATATAAAAACATACTAAGTCACTGACGCGCTTTCACAAATAACAACAGATTAATTCTGATAAATTTGACATCACTACATATATAGACAATAACATTGTATGAGATAAGGTTGAATTTTGTGTAACTTTTGTGCGTAATGTTTAGAGCAAGGAAACACGTCTGTTCTGTAGTAATTTGTATTTGCAACTAACTTGAACTAATATTTTTTTCGGACTACTCTAATGCTGTTGGCCGCAGCTGGCTTTTGCAGCTTCACCGGACGTTAGGGGGCGAGTGCAGATCGCACTCCAAACCGAAGGAAAGATTTATGGAGCGGCTGAAGGCCAACCCTCGCCTGACGGATACGACTTTAGTCTGAGGGCATCGCTAGGGGTTCGAACCGCGGCTCAGGCCGTCGTAACATCGGTCCCCGTTTGAATTGTGAGTAGCTATGACGTGGTCTGGTGTTTTGAGTAGTCATGCTCACTAAAATGTCCAGACTTGTGGCGGCGTGGTGGGCCGGGTCATTGGGCTCCCTAAAATATGGTCGAGCGCAGTGATGGCTGGCTCATCCGTCATACTCGTGAACGGGTGCTGCTTGTAGGGACTGGTCTGCTCTAATGACTGCACTATGACTGATTTCCTCTTATTAATTGTTTAACCAGTTGGTTATATATTCAATATTTTTTTCTTTTTGAGTATTTAATTGAATTAGTGCTAATCGGTGGTTTGTATTCACACACTTAAACTTAAATTGTAAGTAAGAATAAATTATTTAAAAGAGCAACACACAAGTTTCTTGCTTGTTCTTCTTGTGATGAGACAGCATTCCGAATGAGCGGTAGATTAAAAAAAAAAATGTTATGACTATTCAAAAGTGCTTCAATGTAAGTTTATTTGAATAAATGATTTTCTATTCTATTCTATTCTATTCTATTGAACAGGGGATCGATGGATCGATCGGAGGGGAACTTGAACTTACAAACATATTATATTTATATTCACTTAGCGTCTCACTGAGATAATATTATTAGAAATAGATCTATACTTCATCACACGATATACGTTTATAAAAAACGTTATATTTCAGATAAACACTCAACACCATCCTCGTCGCCTATCTATACACATACCGCGCAATCATCGGGACATCGCGCCTGGGCGCTCTGCCGCCGGTCGCCCGTCTTATCTATCTATTTATACTACATACATACATATAAAGAAAATGTTATAGATAAATATAGATGGTTAGTAGAGAAAGGCTGGTGAAGATATGAGTGGACTGTGTTAAAAATCGTAATAATGTCTCAGGGCAATTCACACAGTATCAAGCTAAGCAGAGCTTGTGTTATGGGAACTAAACAACTGATATAAAAACATCGACTTTTAAGGAAATGTTATATATCAATGTAGATGATTAAAAGGACCGAAAAAGAAATGGGTGGACTATGTGAAATATGATATATGAAAGGGGACCCTTTCCTTTAGTGAAATGACTGCGAAAAGATAAGCATTACGCTAATACCAAATGATATAGGACAAAGGAAAATAGATGGTGATTATACATAAAATGAACAAATAATATCGATTTTAATGTCGATTTCAACGGTGTTATTAAATTTAAAAATTGAGTACTTTGACAATCCATATCGACTGAAATATCTAATCATACTGAATTGTTTTTTGATAAAAAAATTATGACTTGCATAACTTCAAAATTATTTAATCATGCAAGCATACTTTCGACAATCAACAATGAATAATTTGAATGTGTATTTAATATTGATTTCATGCATATTGACTTGTCGTGAGATCCTAGAACGAAAGCTATATGGGACGTTGCTAAAATTGGGTAGATACTAATATAATTTATATTCAAAAGCTGTGAAATAAGAGGTTTTATCGGTGATGCCCAGAACGTCTTCAGTTTGTCAAACATGAATTATTTAAACTCTGTTAAGTAAAGCAAGCAATTGGCTGCGGTCTGCTTGTAGTGTCGTTAATTTCAAATGGGGATCGAAATTACGACATCCTTAGCCAAGGTTCGAACCCCTAGCAGTGCATTCAGACTAAAGTCGTATCCATCAGGCAGGAGTTGCCCTTTAAACGCCGCACGTTTGCACTTGCCCTCATTGTCCGTTAAAGCTGTAAAAGATAGCTGCTGGCAGCATTAAAGTATTTAAAAAAAAAGTACCTGTGCGTGCGCGTGTGCGACTGCGGGCGGCGGCTGCGTGCACAGAGCGCGAGCGGCGGCGGCGGCCCGCGCAAGCGCTTGAAGCGCGTGAGCACGTGCCGCCATGCAAGCGGCCGGCAGCGGTGCGCAGCCGCTGCAGCCGCTGCATCCAGCCGCGCAGCCCGCGCCCCAGCCGCAGCCGGCGCCTCCCCACCCGCTGCTCACTTCCCACGCCGCGCTCGCCGCCTCCAGCCCCGCGATGCCTGCGTACCACGTCATTGATGCTCATTAGCTGCCTTACACGACACGTTCTTTCACACGATTGCAAATATAAATATAGAAATACAGGATCCTCTCTTACTACATCCTACGGAAAGTCTATCACTCCGCTTTGTCATTAATAGTGAACATTATCGGCCTTTACACCACACGTTCTTTTATCTGCGATCACGAGCGCGCGTGTTTTAGCGCGGGAAAGCCAGCACACATTAATTGTCATGAGTTACAGAAATTAGAGGCCGAATAAGAAAACATGAGTTAAGTGTAGTCAGTTTGTTGGGAGTAATAGCGTCCTCGTTCTGGACCAGCTAGTTGGTTGACGGAGGTTCAGTTTTCAGAATGGATTGAGTTAGAGCTAAAACTTGTAAAATTTCACCGACCTTCCTGTAAAAGCATGGCGTCGGCGGCTGCGGCCCGGTGCAAGGCGGACAGCCAGCGTTGGGCGGATTCGCTCGGGGCTTCCTCTGATAGACGTTTCAGAATGTCAGCCGCTAGACTATGGTGAGCGTATCTATAAAATTAAATAGAATTATAAATGTTTCCAATTTTGAAATATTACATATTTATAACAAAAAAAAAAAGTAGCTAGGTCATTTATACTCTGTGCGCTGTAGAATGGTGCGGGTGATAGTTACTAATTTTACATTTAACAATTGCTAGACTTAAGTTCTTCTTCTTCTTTAGGTGCCATCTCCTATCGGATGTTGGCGATCTTTACTTTGTCCGCGGCGGTCCTGAAAAGGGACCTGGTGCTTAACCCAAACTACTGCCTGAGGTTTTTTAACCAGGAAGTACGGCGTCTGTCTGGTCTTTGACTTAAGTTAGTACTGTTATTAATGATTTAATATATTACGAATGTGGTACAGCTGAAATACTAAGTCATAACTTGTAAATCGCTGCAACTGCAAGTGAAACGCGTTTCATTTCATTCTTAAAAGTTGCGATTATTAATTAAACTTTCACCCGCACCATGCTACAGCGCATATGGTATAAGTATGTTTGTGTCAACTCACCGCAGTGCTGCCCTCGCTACCCTGTATCTAGTCCAACCATCGACATATCGGATAGCGTCCAGGATGCTCTTCTGCCAAGAGTCAGAGATGGTGGCAGTGAGAGCGGCACTCGCGCGCTCCTGGAACAGCACCGTGCAGAGCAGCACCAGTGCCGTGCCATCGTCCGACGGGTTTTCTAATTGTTCCCTAATAAGTGCAAAATTTTATTAGTTAAAATATTTATTTCTTGTGTGCTGATTGTCGTCTGTTTGGTTGGTAGAAATTAAATCGCAAATTCACTTGCTGCAATGACACCAATTCGTAACACAACTTTTAAATTTTGGTGGAATGTGGGAACTGGAGATAATAATAACAAAACATCATTTCTTTCGCGACTGATGGCATATATATCATTAATAAGTGATAAGTATATTGATATTGATAAGTAATTATAATTGATAAGTAATCCTGAATAACTTTTAGATATATATTTTTTTAATTTGTTATCGTCCGATATTATTAGTTTTTAATCGTTTTAAGTTACTGTCAATTATGACAATATAAAAGAAATTATGATGATGGAGATTTTTTGAACGGAAGACAAAAATTTGCGGACAATTGTACAAGTGTTAAGTATTATTATTATCATTTTGAGGGGTAGACTGACCGCAGCGCGGGCAGCGCTGCCGGTAGCGCGGCGGCGGCTCGCAGGCCGGCGCCCAGCGCGGCCAGCGCCTCCAGCAGCGCGCGCGAGCGGCGCCCCGCGGCCCCGCCCGCACCCCCCCCCGCCCCCGCCCCCGCCACCGCACCCCCGCCCGCCCCCGCACCCCCGCCCGCCCCCGCCGCCGCGCCGCCCAGCTGCGCCGCGAGCGCGCGCGCCGTCCGCGTCGCGTAGCTCGGCTCCGCGCCGCACAGCTTCACCTGCGCACGCGCACGCACATTACAAGTAGAAATATATCGAATCAAATCAAGCTTCCCAGAAACCAAATAAATAAATAAACGCGAACGCGGCTCGTTGCTCGTCCTAGTTTAAACTACACTGTATCTTTTATTTGACGAGCTCGGTGGTCTAACGTTTTAACACACCGCTTTACTTCCGATGGTCGCGGGTTCGATTCCTTGATTCCTTCATGAGTAGGATTGTTTGTATCGGTCTGGGTGTTTTCTATGTATATTACGTTTGTATTTCCAAAAAATTATCTAAGTATTAATATCAGTTGTCTAGTAGACATAACACAAGCTCTGCTTACCATGGGACTAGATGACGCTATGTTAATTGTCCAAAGTTATTTATTATTTATTGATTTATTATTTTCATCTCATATACTTATGTGTAAGAAAAGTTGAGTTAAGTCTAAGAAAAAGTTGAATCGTGTCGTATCAACAGCTAAAAGGACTGATAGAAGATCATGGAAGATGGCGGCAGCTCCACCGACAAGAGCACAGCTTTTAAACTATGAATGAATGAATACTTATACAATGAACACAGACTCACCAAGCAGCTTAGCGCGATTCGCAGAGGTCTTATATTGGCCGGACCGTCGTCCATGCTGGTCGCAATGACTAAGGACTCGAGTGCTATCATTAGATCAGCACCATCCACTGGCAGAGATTCTTCGTAGCTGGAGCAAAGTAATAATTTGAAAAAGTTAATCTATACTTATATTATAAAGCTGAAGGGTTTGTTTGTTTGTACGCGCTGATCTCAGTAACTACTGTTTGAAATTGAAAAATTCTAGTATAAATTCAAATTATCTTTATTCATGTAAGTATTAGTAAGTATTACAGACTCTTATGATATGTCAAATCTGCCGTCAGTTCGAAATAAATTTCGAGATGAGACGAGAATAATTTGTAAATTTTAGCACTTTTGAACAGTCATAATAATTTGTTTTTACAAATTATTATGACTGTTCAAAAGTGCTAAAATTAAGTTTATTTAAATAAATGATTTTCTATTCTATTCTATTCTATTCTATCACGCTATGACTAATAGAAGCGGAGACACTAGACTAATGATGGAGTAGTATACAAAAGATACCAGTGAACGACGATGGTGGTGAGGACGTGTGCGGCGACGGCGGCGTGTCGCAGGTCCACGCTCAGCGCTGCGTCCGCGCAGTACGCACGCAGCCTCCCCGCCGCCGCGCACACCGCCGGGCACTGCACCAGGATCTACCCCGCAATATATATACAACACACACTACTAATACTTATTATCTAACATGTGTAACATTCACTTGAAAACAATACGACCTGGTTCATATAAATATACTTATTTCTTACAATTGTTATATGCAATTCAAATTCAAAATATCTTTATTCATGTAGGTCTATTACAGACTCTTATGATATGTCAAATCTACCGTCAGTTCGAAATGATATCGAGATGAGAAGAACTGAAAAGAAACTCAGCTCGTATTTTTTTCAAATAATAGTGGAACATGTTTATAATAATATACAGTCATTAAAATTCAAATTTGGGATTGTAAGAAATAAGTGAGTTGCAATATGGTACTACCCTAAATCCCACTCCAATTTTTATCCACCAAATCTGAGGGTAGTATCGACAAAACGAGTCGTTCGTTGTACACGCAAATCAGCATATTCTCCGCGAATCGACGTAAACGGAACCATCAGCCGCGATCTCCGCGCAATCATCTTATTAGTACATCATCCAGTGAAAATCATCGTAGTGTTGTGAAACGGCTACGCGTACATAAGACTGCACGCGGGACGACACGAACCAGGTTTGTCCTTAGTTTCCCTTTTTGCCCACACGACCTGAGTTTCTTGTCAGTTCTTCTCATCTCGAAATCATTCCGAACTGACGGTAAATTTGATATAAAAAAAAGGATATTTTGAATTGAATTCAAATAAATATATGCATCAATACGACAAGTATCTGCAGATTCTGCCAAACTGAAGAGGAAACGCCGCTTCACATCCTATGTGGTTGTAGCCCACTCATGCATAAACGAAATATCTCCGTTGGAAAGTTTACACTCTTTCCCGAGGAGATAAAAACGATCGCTCCTAAGAATATCCTTCAATTCTTGTCCCTGACGGGTCTAGGTAGCGAACTCTAAAAAGGGCGAGCACAATAGATCTATGTAGGTCGCAGTGCTACAGGTGCTACACATCTGACAATAGCCCAAACAATCCAATAAAAAAAATGCATCAATAGATAGAAATAATCTTTATTAAAATAAACTCAATAAGCACTTTTGAATAGTCATATTTTTTATTCTACCACTCATTCGGAACGCAAATTCATCACAAAAAGAATGAGCAAGAATCTTTTGTGTAGCTCTTTTAAATAATTGTTTTTTTATATAATAACTGCTATAGGACACAGTTACCTATATCTTATTAATATTATAAACTAGCTCCCACGTTTTCACCTGCGTTAAATTTTAATAAAAAATATAGTCTATGTAACATTATGATGTATAAGATATATTAGTGTAAAGTTTCCAAATCCGTTCAGTAGTTTTTTAATAAGGATCAATACGTGTATATATTTGTTTTATTATTATTATTTTTTGGGGGTTTTGAACTATTATCAGATGCTAAGACCTGTTGCAATTCGACCTAGCTAAGACCTGTTGCAATTCGACCTAGCTAAGACCTGTTGCAATTCGACCTACATAGCTCTATTATGCTCGCCCTTTGTCAAAGTTCGCTGCATAGACCAGTGAAGGATATTCTTAGGAGCTGGTTTTATCTCCTCAGGATAGTGTATACTTTTCAAAGGAGATATTTCGTTTATGCATGAGTGGGCTACAACCACATAGGATGTGTAGTGGCGTTTCCTCTTCTGCTTAGCATATAATAATATTAAGTTGCTTGAAATAAATAAATAAAAATTAGCGTATAATCTGTAGTTTTCTTCACCTGCATCACTTGTAAGCATAGCATAGTATGCTCTGCATCTTCACTATCAGTGGCAGCTTGTACCAAGTTCTGAATACAGTCCGCTGGCCACAAGGCTGCATGCTCTGCTAATTTCTTCAGTCCAACGAGCGCTGACCGCCGGACGACAGAGCGAGCATCATTCATTGCAATATTTAGAAGTAGTTCCACCTGTTGAAAGTAAATATATATTTTTTTATCTAATTGGAATGCCATACAGGCTTACGGCCTACCTGTTCTTAAATAGTCCTGTATACATGAATAGCACTATGGATATCACGTTAACAACCCTAATACCCTTTTATAGCTCTCAGCCATTCCTGAGCTTTACTTCCGATGGTCGCGGGTTCGATTCCTCACACAGCACAATCTTGAGCCTAGATGGCCCTGTGTGAATTGTCCTGAGATTATTATTATTAATCTGTTTGATATAACGGTGTCCTTTGGAATACGAAATTTTAACTATTTAAAAACCGGCACTGACGGGGGAGCTGGGGGAATAGGGGTGGGGGTTGAGAGAAAATAGGGGTGGGGGTTGAGAGAAAATAGGGGAGGGGGGTGTTAAATAATTAAATCTGTGCAACCAACTTATGAATGACCCTGTAGAAGATATTAAATAGCGATGGTTTGTAACTCCTCAGGATAGAGTGTGTACTTTCCAAAGGAGATATTTGTTTATAAGTAGGCTACTATCATGTAGGATGTGTTCACATTTCCTTTTCACCTTGGCAAAATCAGATTTTTCTTAAGCACAGGCCTAAGTTTCCAAGTTTTCGCAGGTCTAGACTATAACTAGATATAATATCAGTCTCACCTGATCAGGAACATGTACCACTGTATCTGCAGCGATTGCAGTTAATGCAGTAATGGCCGCCCGCACGGAGCTTGATGATGGGAACCGTTCCAATAGAGATCGCAGTAATTTTAACACACCTTGGGCTCTCACAGCTGCAATTTTATTTCATTAACGGGTACAATACCGCGGTTTCACCCGCGTTAAATTAAAAAAAATATAGCCTATATGTAACTCTGATGCATAAGCTATATTACTGTAAAATTTCATCAAAATCCGTTCAGTACTTTTTGCTTGAAATGTAACAATATCCATACTCACAAATTTTCGCGTTTATAATATTGCTAGCTACTCGCCCCGGCTTCGCATGAGTGTCCATGTATTATATATATAAACCTTCCTCTTGAATCACTATCTATTAAGAGAACCTCTTCAAAATCCGTTGCGTAGTTTTAAAGATTCAAGCATACATAGGGACAGACAGCGATAGCGACTTTGTTTTATACTATGTAATGATTAACATTTATTTTAATATTAAGCAAGTAATTACGCCTGTGAAGAAAGTTTGTAGTGTGTTAGTATTGAGGACTAATGATGCCATTGCTTACAATATACCATGTCAGTTTGGTCTCCTTGCAGTTCTCCCTGGAATACATTATGATAAATTCCTGGTGAATTTGTCACAATAGGCTAACTGACCTGACCTCATGTTTATCATATCATCCTCAACTGGTGTCTGGCCAGCGTAAACCGTTAGCGCAAACAAATGCATCATTCCATTATCATTCATTAAAAAACTTCTACTTAGTCCAGCACTGTGTGAACTGTTCTAAGTTCTTATTATTTCTTTTTTTAACACCATATGAAATATTGATACAAATATAATGAAACAATGTAAAATAGTTTAGTTAATTATACAAACCTCCACCATGAACAGTTCTCAATGCTCGAACTAGTTTCGCTCGTCTCTCTGCACCCGTGCTCTCACATTCTACCATGTCGGAGAGCTTGTTGCACATAGCTACAGCGAAGGTACTGTAATGTACACATTATTTATATAGTATAGTATATCTTATTTAAAAATATGGCCATTCTTATATTTGTAATTATTGAATGTGATAGAAATAGGCTAAATGTTTATTCAAATAAACTTAATATATGTAGTTTTGAATAAAGAAGATATTAAAGATATGTTTTATTATTCTACCAGTCATTCAGAACATACATCTATAAAAAAAGGCTTAACAATATTAAAAATATAAGCATATAATTATGAAAAATAAAAGTAAAAATGTATATTTTAAAGATTAACTTATACAACAATATATTTTAAGTTATTCAAACTAGTTTTTTTTCTTAATCTCTTTGTTTCTTTAAGTAATTAAATTTGTCTGTTTGCCCTTGCTAATATCTGTAATGCCTGGACCGATTTTGACGGGACTTTCATTTGTAAATAGTTAATGTTGAGCATAGGCTAGCCATGTTAGAAGTATCATAGGTTACTTTTATTTTAAAAATTACATTATTACAGATAGCCTGAAACTATTTTGATGGGACATTCATTTGCAAATATCTAATGTTGTAAGGAGTAATGTGTAATGTTGTACATAGGCTACTTTTATTTTAAAACTTGTATTTATTTCAATAAAAATAAAAGTTAATTTTTAAATAAATGCAGTAGAAGTAAACAGCTAGTATAAAAATAAAGAAGTATGAACTCACTTGGAGTGTGCTGCAAATCTGGTGGTAGCATATATGGCTGCATCAACTTCTACATTGTCGTGACTGTCTAATCCTCTCCTGATGGCATGATGGACATTCTGTCTCTCCGGAATTATACCAGCAACCGCTCCCAGGGTTCTGAGCGCCAGTGCTCTGGCCACTGGATCGTTTGAATGCAGAACACTGAACACTCTCCTCAAGAACTCATCTACATTCAGAATCTTATCCAAATGCTTCTCACTTTGTTGGCAAACTCTCAGTACCCACAAACGGAGAAAGTTGTTGCCCATGCGAAAAACATCAGCTAATTTTAGGAATGACGAATTTATTAGTATTGGAAATGGATATTTTTCGAACAGGCGAGGGAATCGGACTATTGCTTCGCATTGTTCACCAACTTTCCCAGATCTAAGGCCTGTAAAAAAGTATTTATTTATTTATGTAAATAATCTTTATTGCACCAAAAGTATGTTACAAAGAATATAAATAGATAGTAGCTTAAAAAGAAGGCACAAAAGGCGGTCTTATCGGATAAGCAATCTCTTCCAGACAACCTTTGGGTAGAGGAGAGAAGACCGAAAGTGGTAGATAGCGCAAGAATGGACTAGAGAAATAAAAAAAGGCATAAAGTATTATGATATCAATAAATAGACTATGACATTTATCTTTTATTATGTGAATTGTGCAATAAATTGTTTACTTATGTATGAACTAAAGTCATTAAAATGTATATATTTGTATTTGGTTTCAACTAAATTTGAGGTTATTTTTTGGGTACCTTTATCAAGTTCAGTTAAAGCCGAGTTAGCGTCTTGCTCAGGCTCTCCGGAATTATCATTAAAAGTATTTAACCGAACACCAATCATTGTGCTCGAATTATTCTATAAAAATTAAAATAGTACAATAATAATAATAAACAAGAGCAGCTTTTCCGAATTGGAAGAAAATAAAACTTGTTTGTTGACAGTACTTGACAGTAATATCTGACACATCGCATGACTGACTGTTTGATTGATAGAGACTGTCACATATTGACAGATAATGAATTAAGTAACTGATCCCCGTAGTTTTGCCATAGTATTGAAGAATATTTCATGAAATTCTGTTAATACTCCAGACCATCACAAAAATGTTTATAAATATGAAATTACTTATTATGAAAATACCGGCAATAAAATAATTAATCCGGATATAACATACAGCGCAACAAACTTAATATTGTGGGAGGATATGGGCCAGGACATGTCCATACGTGAAAATTGTTCTCCCTGGAAACCATCTTGATTACTGGTGTATTTACCACAATGGATTGACTAATCTGACTTCATTCTCCACTGGTACTCCGTCAGCGTAAACAGTTAACTTAGACGGGTACACCGATTCACACCAATAAATGATTCGTACTCAGACAAAATGCAAGATGCACATTTTTTTATCGCTAATTCTGCAATTTTTATAATTATTTTTCCAATGAATATAGTTTCTAACTCCTGTAACGGTTCTAGTTCCATAATATTGGATTATATTTATCTCGATACTAGATGGCGCTGTGTGGTTAAAAAACCTTCGAATATCTTGGATGATGATGAATAAACATTGACACTAATGAATAAAAATAAATAAATACTAAATAAATAAAAAATTATCATGTGTGACATGATCCGACGGAATAGAAATTCCTTGTACACACTTACGTACAGCTTAGAATAGAAAATAATTTATTCAAATGGACTCACATTGAAACACTTTAGAATAGTCAGCACTTATTGTTTTCAATTATAAATGTACCATGTAGTATAAAGTTTCTATTATATCTAATTATACTAATCATATTGTCAAAACGAATAGATGTTAGAAGATAGATAAATAATTGATGAATAAAGAATTTATCTATCTATCTATAAATTCTTCACATTTAGTATCAGTTTAAGCTCAAAGCCGTGTTTAACAACAGCTCGAGTCTCAAAGGCGGTAATTACACTGTGTCACGCCGTCGTATGTCGCCATTATGTGAAATTACGCGAATTGCCGCCTTCTAATCATGACAGATCGCGAACCAGACACTGTCTCATTTGTTGAGAAAATTGGTGTTATTTAATATGAGTGAAGCCTGGTGAGGTTTAGGAACCTTGTTATGAAGAATTTCTCTTCCGCGTGTTGTAGTTACACGTATTTTATACTTTTTATAATTATTTCATATGTACATGTTAGTCTTTATGTTATTTATAATATGACACATTAGTAGCATGAAATAAAAAATATATTTTATTATAGAATAAGTAGGGTCGTTGCTGGGATTAAAAGTAAGTAGTTAATGTTATTTTCCATGCCGAATGCTACACGGAAAAACGTAGGTACTCTTAATTGGAGAAAAATGGTTGAGAAAAAATATTTACTACATTTAATTAAATTTTTTTAATATTGTTGTGACTATGAGAGTTTGTATTTTTTTTTTAATCAAATGATTCTGACCAAGTCAAATTAGAAAAAGTTGAAACGTAGTAAATTATAATTTGAGTAAGTATTGTATGAAATATTATCTTGTGGTATTATGTTAGCAATCTATATGTTACTAATTTGTTTGAATTTATTATCATACCGGTATGTAACGATGAATAAAAATATTTCAACTCAGATAAAGACAAAATTTAAAAAAAATATGTGAAACAATTTTTGGAAGCAAGTGTTTTTGCGTACCTATTTAATTTTTATCTGTGTAATCCATCTTTAATCACTGTAGTCCTTCCGGGCTCGGACAATAGTTTGTTTTGACAAGTTTTTACTTCTACAAAATGCTTCGTTATTGTGTGATTCACGTAAGTAATTGATGCCGGACGTAAGATTTCAGAGACCAAATTTTTAGTTACTAATAACAGATACAAAAGGAATTTTCGTAGAAATATCAAGTTTGTCCAGATATTTTGGGCATAGATTAGAATTTCAATGACATTTCTAATCTGTCATCTGTATTTTTAGGCGGGAAAGAGGCATATTTGCTTGCTAATCGCTATAAGGACAGTAAATACTTTTTGTTGCCTGTGAAATCTCCACACGTTGGTTCATTCATTGTGAGTTATTGTCATGGGGATTATGGGTTATTATCGGGCTTACTATTCCACAGACTAGGGATTAAGGGGTAGCTCAGATAAGATTGTTGAAGACCCTGTGAATCAGTAGCATTTAGCAAAAAGATTTAAAGTGACTTTTGCATTTAAATAGATGAACAGGAGTAGGTATTTTTAGTTGTCGTGTAATATTAATTTTGCAATTATTCTAAAAATAACGTGTCGTATTACGCGTAGGGTCTATTATTGGTACTTAGATGAGTAACAGTGCACGTTATCAGTAGACTACCGAGTGATTTAAGAGATGTACCTACTTTATAAAAGAAATGTCTAAGCAAAGCTTAAAAATTATTTATTGAAACAATGTTTTTAATCCATTGACGATTTCTTTATCGAATGTCAAGTACTGTAGCTCAATTTAGCAACTATTATTAGTATTTTTATTTTTTATTAGTGAATGTAAATTTTTCTGTCTCGCGTTCACACCAAAACGACTTCGCCGATTTAAATGAAATTTTGTACACAGATAGTCTAGACCCTGAGGAAGAACATATATGCTACTTTTTAATGCGATAAAAGGATTCTAAGGGGTTGAAAAGGGGCTGGAAATTTGTATGGAAGTATCGTCATTTTTAATGCTAGAAGCTTGATAGGTACTTATTTTTTAGCCTGTTGATTAAATATAAATAAATGAGGAGGTAATGGTTTGTATAGAAAATCATCATATATGAGGCTAGGACGATGAAACGATGGATTCTTTAAAAGAGCAACACTCAAGTTTCTTGCTCGTTCTACTTGTGATGAGACAGCTTTCCGAACGAGTGGTAGATAAAATTCAAATTGTTATGACTATTCAAAAGTGCTTAAATTAAGTTTATTTGAATAAATGATTTTCTATTCTAAAACTTTTTTTTTGTTTATTTTGGTTACATTATTGAATATTATTTCATTATTTGGTCAAGGTTAATTATTCAGTAAATAATGAATTCACTAATTACAATATATTTAAATTAATTATAGTCGAGTATCGAGAACTGGATGAACACTAGTTATGACAATTAGGGCAAACGGACTAAGTAGTACCTAGATATAAACATAACACGTTTATAATAGAGCCGATCATCAAAGTATCATAGTAGTGTGTATCACAAATATTTGTCCACGGCAATCATCCAGCCGTTTCCACCACTAATCCTATACGAGGAGACAGCTCTTGCCCTAAAAACATTATCATGATCCCCACATAATGCGAGCGACAATGACAGAGGTACAATGAAGCCCCCGATGGACTCGCTACGTTTATTTACAAAGAATAATACACATATAATAAATACTGGGTTTTTTTTTATGTTACCAGCCGCTGGTGTCAAAATTAACGCCATTTGCAATGTTGGGTTGTGTGACCAGAATTTAGGAGTATTTATGGACTGTATTTTGTTTAGTTTTTTTTACAAATTTTGATCGTCAAGAGTGAATATCAAATATCAAGCTTTCCTGAAGATACTGGAACTTTATTTCATCATAGACTAATAATGTTATTATTAATCTGTGATGACCACAGAATCATCACAGAATAATACTAATATATATATTATGATCTGTGTACCTACTAAACATTTGAATGTTTAGTGGCTTTTTCATTAGAGTAAAACATATATCTAAATTTTTGTGTATATTATAATAATAATAATATAATTATGTAGGTATTTAAATCTAAGATAATCTAAGTATTTATATCAGTTGTCTAGTATCCATAACACAAGCGTAGAGCTTACTATGGGACTAGATAGCGCTGTGTTAATTGTCCAAAACATCAGAAATATTTGTCCTTATAACCTACTATTTTACCTACATTTGCTTAAATTTTACCACCAGAGTTCTTGAATTGTGGTGACCACAGAAGGTACGAGATTACTGAAAGATTTGTATCTGGATGCCGTCACAATGTTCACGACGTATGAACACAAAACTGACGCGCCATTTGTCAGGCCCGTCTGCGCCCGCGCCACCACACCAGGGCCGGATTGATCATATCCGGGCCCCAATTTAATATAATTCTTGATGCCTTGTTTAAAAGTCTCAAATAGGGCTCTCCCGTATGGTTTTATAACAAACTGCCAGAATTGGTCCATGGTCCATGGTCCAGCCATACAAAACATTTTCGTTGTAAATAAGTTTATTATAAAATTGAAGAGTTTATAAATAAATAATTTATAAAGTCTTCATTGTATGTGGAGAAATACTAACTTACAATTAATAGCGCTGACAATCTTATTAATATTATAAACGCGTAAATTTGTGAGTATGGATAGATGTTTGTTACTCTTTCACGCAAAAACTACAGAACGCATTAAGATGAAACTTTATAATAACATAGCTTATACATCAGCATAACACATAAACTATAATTTAAAAAGATATGTAAATTGGGCGGAATATTATGATAAATATCAAGTAAATGTGATCAGACGAAGTTGCGCGGGTCAGCTAGTGTTATCATAGCACAAATATTGAGTGCGTAGCGGTTTCTATGTCGATTGTCGCATGCCTAATCCTTGTTAGTGTGTATTTACATTTATTTAAAACAGCAATACGTAACTCTTTTGATGAGTCTGCATCGGAATTAAAGCGATGTGCTAAACCGCTAGACCGATCAACTATGAATCATTTGCTTTTATTTTGTGAGCGCGTGGGGCCCCCTACCCTATTCTGGCTAATGGTTAATCCGGCCCTGTTCATCACAAAGGGATTACTTCACGATGTTTTGATTGCACCAGTGGTCCTTTCAGATGATACCACGAAGGTGTGATGTTTGACAATAAACTACACTATTTGAACATGATTATAATATTTTGCACTCTATTCCGTACACATAAGATCATTTCTTT